GGGACAGGGGTTTGCTTCCAGCACAGCCAGAAAGTGAGTTGGGTCGGAGGAAAAGGCAGGGCGAGGGAAACCGGGAAGTTTGAAGCCCGACGTGACATGGGAGTAGGAAGGGGAGAGCCGCGACCGGAGGAAGAGCTGTTTTGTTGCATTTGCAACAATGGGGATGGAGAAGGGAGCAGGCCAAGTGCTGGGAGCAGGGATGGGGCAGAGGGGATCTGGCACAGAGGGCTCCTCTCTGCACCAGGCCTGTGCCAAGAAACCACAGGATTGCCTCACTGCAGATCAGGCTTTTAAAAAGTGTCTGCTTTAACGTGCTGGATTTGAAAAGGGTTTTGAGTGCTTGGCACACAGTTCCCTTGTAACTTCCCAACTGCAATGAACCTGAATGGGGCATTTGAGTTTTTGGGGCTTTTCAGCCCTTGTGGTTTTGAATCGGGCTTTACATTTTGATGGCTTGTAAAACAAGGGAAAAAAATTCCCCACAACAGCTAAACAATTTTCAGAAGCAAAAGAAGTTAAGAGCTGGCATTGCCGGAGCAATAGCAGCATAGGACTAAGGGCTTCATACGCTACATTTGAGGAAATGAGGTAGAAAAGATGTCTGTTGTCCCTTCTTGTTTTGGCATCCCCATTTTACCCAAACATAATTAAACAAAACTATCAAATTCCAAGCTTCCAGATGAATGCTTTGCATTTAGCTTGTCTAACTTGGTCCCGATTATAGTTGGTCAAATAAAAAAAAAAATATAACCAGAAAAAAGCCTTGCCAGCTACGATATCATTCTAAAACTTCCAGGAGGTACTCCAGAAAGTTGGGTTTTTTTTGGTTGTTTTAACACCTCTTTCCCCCCCCCAACACGCACACACATCTTCCCCTGTTGCTCCTCACTAAAGTCTTTATCATGGTAAAAACATTTTATTTTCAAAAGTCAGATTATTAAATACGATGGGAAATTAAGTGGTTCAGGTAATACAGAGGGAAATTCAACAGATGTGGTTTTTATAAGTCTGAGGAAGTTAGGCACTCAGATCTTGATCTCCTTCACATTCTTTTGGATCCTCTACTTAAATTGTTGATCTATACCCCATACAGATTTTTTTTTTTTTTTTGGTATTTTCCAATTGCTTTGGCTTAAAAGGTACTGGAATGCGTCAGTGCTCAATTTGCTGTGATTTATTGTAGAGCTCACTTGTGTTCTATATTCTGTATTTGTGGCAAGACATATTTTTAATCATAGCCTCAAAATCTCTTTTTTTCTTGAGGCAAGTTGAATATTGTCATGTATGTTTTGTTTGTAAGCTATATTTATTTCCTCTGTCTTAATATATTCTTGTTCTAGATACCAAGTTTCCACTTCTTAAAATAAGCTAATAGTGCATGGTTGCACCTGGAAGAATTAAACTCCCTTGCTCCTCCATCCTGAGCCTTTTCTGAACTGCTGTAGACATGGATTCTTCCAAGATGGTCTGCAAGGTAGGACCTCTCATTCTTTCAAAGTTGTAGTGGCATATTTTTCTTAAAGATCTATTAAACATTCAGAACTATCTGAACTGTGAAAATCATCATGGTATTTACAGGCTCTGTTCAGGAATCAGATTATGTTATTTATGTCCAGAAGAAACTTAAGAAGTGGGTTTCCTTTGTAATTTCTTTATGGCAGATAGTTTTAAAATGGAGATTTGGGAATGTGTCTAGAAATGTAGGGTTCTTTACAGTGTTTTTGAATTTTTTTTAACACATGCAGCTGCTTTTGTATGTGTGTGCTTGATGTTCAGTCTAATTTTCCTGGTCTTGTACCTGGAATTCCTGGTACACTGATTTGACACACCCAAAATTTTATTATAACTACCATAAAAATGGTCTCTT